AAATGATATTCCCAATTTTCATCTCACAGGATCGCTGTCGAGGAAAGCTGTTTGACCTGGTTTCCAGCAACAATTTTGAGATCGTAATCTTGACGGTGATCATCTGTAATATGGCTTTAATGATGTCTCAGCAYTACGACCAATCACCACAGATAACAAACGTCATGAATATCCTTTGACACGCAATCAATYACTTCTATAGTTTTASATCGATTCTCTCAAYTCCTCTCTGAACTCCTTTTGAACCTTGTTGTCAATCATTGAGAGCAGGTAAACATTGTGCATGAACTTGGAGAAGAGTCAGAAGAGGAATTCCATTAACAACTATACAAATATCAAACATGATCAGTAAAGCAATAACGATACTTAATCATTATCACCTTACGATATTAAACTCAGAAATGCCATCACGACCATCATCATCATCATCATCATCACCATCATCATCTTATATCATACCATCATCAGTTAATTCTATGACATAACAATTATTTTCCTTGACGAGAACCGTTGCGGTCATCACAAATCGCAAACTTCGTTCTAGTGGGAATCTTCTTAGCGGAGGCGATCGTGAAACTGCTCGCCTTGCGACACCACTACTTCAAAAARGCGTGGAATGTGTTTGACTTTCTTGTTGTAGCTTCATCTGTCATAGGTAAGTACTTTATTGATCAAACTTAGGCTTATCGTGTTTGGTAATGAGGGTCGACTACTGCTCTAGTGTCATCTATTCATTCTAACCTTATTTATCACTCTCATGATCACTGGAAAAAGTCGCGCACTTAAGAAGGTTGTAAATTTGATGCAAATATGATGTAAGTGTCCAAAATGATGTAAATCATTACATCAAATTTACAGAATTTTGGACGCTTACATCACATTTACATCAAATTTACAACCTTTTAAAGTGCGCGATTTTTTCCAGTGGATATCGCTAATATTTTAACCATGCTACCGTATTGCTCATCTCTAGGTATTGTACTCGATGAAATGAACACAGAAGAGTCAGGAGTGGTCAACGCTGGTCTACTACGAGTAATACGCGTTTTTCGAGTAGCAAGATTACTACGAGTTGTACAATTTGCCAAGCGAATTCGACAGCTTTTGGTGGCAATAATAATATCTATTCCTGCWTTGTTTAACATTGGAACACTTCTWTTYCTCATCATGTATATATATGCTATTATAGGAATGGCATCGTTTGGTAACGTGAAAAAACAAGGAGAGCTAGACGACTTTGTGAATTTTGAAACTTTTGGCAAATCAATGATGTTAATATTCCGRYTRTCCACGGGTACGGGTTGGAACGATATCTTGGAGGCTTTAATGGTACAACCACCTCATTGTGATCCAACTTATAAAAATCTACCTAATGGTAACTGTGGGTATATCGTTGAAGCAGTGTTTTATCTGGTTTCCTATATCATTGTCGTGTTTTTAATTATTGTCAATATGTACATAGCAGTATTATTAGACAATGTCAACCGTGCTCACGAGACCGACGACTTTGGGTTATCCAAAGACAAATTCAAGAGTTATTACCATAAATTTGCGAACTTTTCGCTTGGAAAACAGTACATTCCAGTGGAATTTCTACCCGARTTGTTAAACGATTTGGATAAACCGTTTAAAATTGCAAAACCTAATGCTGAGGAGATTGAAAAGCTGGCGATTCCTGTTCGCGAGGGAAATCTTGTACATTGTTTTGATGTTTTAAAAGCTTTAGTTAAACGTATTTTACAAGAACATGGAGAATCGCCRGAGATATTCGAGCAAATAACCGTCAGAATGGAGGCGCAATTTAAGAAGTCTTTCAGTAAGAAAGTATCTGCTGCTATTATTGGCTCAACATTGATTCGTTTCCATAGTAACCCACTGAACTCAACAACAAGCAACGACGCTACGTGATCGTCACGTGGCCTAATGCTGATATACTAGAGACAGTAATGGTTTCAAATAAACGCATAATCGAGTCACGTGAGCTACAACTTTGATTGACTTCCTTGACTTGGAGCTTATTTCGTAACTTAACGAATCACATGACCATTCACATGAATTGGAAGTTCTAGTCATGCGCAGTAAAGATATAATTCTCCGTCACGTGACATATGACCGCAAAATAATCGCCCTGGGATCAACTAGTTRCACTTGTTCCAGGWTTCGTTAATCGAGAATTTCTTGGAAGAAATAATAAACGCAAATATATGGCTTKCATCATGTGAAAAATACTACCATGGAAACATGAAGTTGCAACGATAATGTTGCTATGACACTCAGTTGCCATGCCAACCAATAGTTTGATATTCATRTCAAGCGTAGAAAAAAAAATTCATAGTATTTATTAGTTAATAATTTTTTGATAAAATCGTAGAGATTGTTTAAGAATATTTAATTAAGTGCGCCGATTGCGCATATTTTTATCAAAAGCAGTGATAACAAATTGGACATTTTTAAGATGAAAAAAATGAATTTTATATAACCGAATTTCTCGCATAAAAACAATATTTATAGTATTATTGAATAGCTTCGACTCTAATTACCTTCTTGACTTGGAATTCCTGTTGACTTAGCCTGAGCCAGCGCATTCTCAATACAGCGGTAGTCCAAATAAAGACTGTTTTAGTTGCTGAATCTAATTTTCTTAACTTCTTCTGAATAATCCTTGAATGAATGAAAGTAGAGTKACTTTCACTTGGAAAACGCGGTCTAAAGTCTACGATAATAAGTCATCGTATCACTTTCAAAAACGCCAAAAAAGGTGTGGACGGTATCCAATGAAAGTCACTCATTTACTCTTCTGTCGTAATCGTAACCATAAGCTACATTAAAATCTACGACACACTTCGAGTATTGTTATGTAATTCTGAAAGTCATTCYGAATCCTTACAATACTGGTTAAAACACATTCCTTTACTTTGTTTGATTGATCATTTAGATTTATAATATCCATGAGTGTAGTTATTGTTTTAAGTTGTTTATGATTGCGATTACAACATGTCTGTGAACTCTAAAATAATGACTTCGATGTTAATAATAAACGAAGTAAAAATGCAATTGAATTCAAATTTTATTTTATGCTTGTAATCAAGAAAACGGCATCATTTTTGGGCAACGGCTCTGTGTAATTCTTATGATGGAATATACGCAAAAACCAACTTTTGACAATCAAGCATCATTTTAGAAACCGTTCTAGAATCAAGCCGCTTTGAATTTATCCAAGGCGGTTTAAAGAAGTGATGAATTTCATCCTAAAATGTGTCGATTTTAGTGAAATGCTTTTCTGGTGCTTTACAAGGCACCTCGATAATGGATCTCGTTAAGGTGGCCGTAGTCTTCTATCGTCGCCTTAGCAACAGGTGGTTGTATGTACAAAAGCCAGGTTGCACCAGTAAAGCAAKGGAAACAAGAACCTTTTAGTGTTAAAAGAATATAAAAACACAACACTTTGAATCACCTTAGGGTGGATTTCAACAATGAAGAAAGACATGTTTTTATTCTTAGAAAAATAAACCACTAAACGTCGCAAAGAAAGCGGTATCTTTTGACGGATTAACTCCCTACATTGCGGCGACCAAAAACTAACATATACAARAGKTATCACAAAATGATYGAATCGATATAAAATAACATCAGAATTCTTKACTTTGGTAATAAATGGGAGCGAATATCACAAAGATATCTAGACGAAGCAAGTAATCAAGTGATTAATAGTAAAAGAGACGACTTATGAACTGGTACAACTAGAAAAAGATAACTTATTACTGGTACTGAAAACAACGAAAMAATGAAAAGGGTTTACTTAAACTCCTATATAACAACTTTTCATTTGGCAGATTATTATGCTCTGTAAAAAAACAAAGGGTTTTGGCAATATTTAATACAGTGTTAAGGAAAATCGGAGTCCTTGGTATTTCAATAGTTAAAAATGCGCAGAGAAATAGTCACAAGTGACGTTGAACCAGGTTGAAACATCCCGATATTTTTTCTCATAAAACTAATTAGAGTTATAGGTGACAATGTAACTAGAAGAGAGAATCAAAATACAAGATTCTCAACCTGTCAGGAAAATAAGGYCGTTCTTAGCCATTGGCTGGTCAAGTWAASTACCAGTAACACCAAAACGGCCGTTGAAAAAACCTTTYTGCCCAAAACAAAAACAAAAGAAGATCACACAAAGCCGTCAAGCTGAGCGACTAGCAAGTTGCACGCTTAATAAACCAGTCCTGAGTCTTCATAATAATTTTTGTTAACCGTTTATCGTAAACTACTAAGTCATGAATTAAATATTATATTCTTTGAGAAAGAATTCACAACAAAATGGATTTTACGCGGGTCTTTTGTGGAAAACATGGATTGTCTTCGYTAAAATTTATCGCTTGAAGTTYCGTCTGGCGGGAAAGCAAGACAGCGAGTGGAATTACAGTGAACGTATCAAGGTATWRTAGATATGAGGTCAGAAAMCAAGTTGTCAACRTAATAAGTTCTTTCGTTTGTGCAATGAAAAGATCCCGCCGRGTCAATAARATATCAAAATTCCAAAGACATGAATTCACAMTTCACGCAAAATGAACAGGAACTTAAACTAGATTCTTGTTCTTATTGGCTATTGATTTGATACGGGATGTAATTACACAATGGCATATGGGAGGRTTTAAGTGCCAAATGCGACATGTATCAAACAATCTCGAGTACTAACTGTTCATTTGTTTCTGGCAAGATACGATAAAACATGTTAACACTCACTTTTATTAATGTACAAATCACATTTACTAATATAATGAGTAGMACATATTTAAGTGAGTTTATTTGGAATTGAATAAAAAAAATGTTTCTTTGAAAGATTAAAAATTATGTGTCTAGAAACCACCAACCGTACGAGGGGTTTCGTAACAGAAAAATATATCTCTGACCTCACAAACCACTTACTATTTTCCTCACATAACTTCATTTATTCCAATCTACACCTTTTAATCAAATYTAACTCTATTCATATCAAGGAAGWTWAASKTT